ATTTATAGCTTTGGTGTAGTCATGCTTGAACTGTTAACTGGGCGAAAACCTTTTGATAGGTAATTTTGGTGTTTTACTTGCATTACCACTTTTTATTTAAACAAATGAAGGGATTTGTTATTCCCTGTTGTAACTATTATTTTTACTTGCATTACCACTTTTTATTTAAACAAATGAAGGGATTTGTTATTCCCTGTTGTAACTATTATGGGTAATTTCTAACAGCACAAGGCCATGGTCAGAGCAGTCCTTAGTTCGATGGGCAGCTCCTCAGCTCCATGACATTGATGCATTGGATAAGATGGTTGACCCGGCTCTACAGGGGCTGTATCCTGGAAAATCTCTTTCTCGGTTTGCTGACGTGATTGCCCTCTGTGTTCAGGTATCCCATATTCTTGCACTTTGAACTTTTTAGGAAATGCACAGCTTGACTGTATCAACCAGAATGTTAACTATTAAAATAAAAGATTGGAAGTATATAGATCTTACCTCAGCTGAATGAGCATAAAAAGATACCAAGAACACTACAAATAGAGGAAAAATTAGAAGCAAGAAAATGAAAACCAAAAGTAGGAGTGTGGATGATCGGCAAACAGGTGATTAGAGGATACTCGTTATTTTAAAGATTCGGCACTGAATTCCAGCATGAAGTTCAACATTTTGAAAATTAATGCTTCACTTGAATGACTTTTTCTTTAGGGTTAAGTTCACTAAACTACCATGAAATATGGTTGGTTTTGCACAAAAAAATCTATAATTTTTTTATGACAGAAAACTACAGTGAACTTTTAAACTCTGGAAAAATACAAAAGTTGTTAACATCATTTAAGATTTGAAGATGGTTTGCTTAACGTGAGATGGACATTCTACACTGTTAGATTGAAATTAATGGTTAGATTTAAACTAATAGGTTAATTAATTAAAAAATATGTGACTCCCACATTTATTTGATTTCCCTACTAAGTCTTCTATATGGTTTCGCATATCCTCCCTTTTGTCTCTTCTCTTTCTTATTTGGGTTAGGGTTAGTAGGTTCGGGTTTGAGGTTAGGGTTAGGATTCGGGTTATGGTTCGGATTAGGGTACAGGTTAGGGTTAGCGGGTTCGTGTTCGAGTTAGGGTTAGGGTTAATGGGTTCGGGTTCGGGTTGGGTTAGTGTTTGGTTTCGGGTTCGGGTTTTGGTTAGAAAAGATTTGGTAGGGATCAATAAAATATGGGGCCTACATTTCTTTAATTAATTAACCTCTTAGTTTAAAGGACAAATTTTCGAAAACGTCCTATTTGGACATTTAATCCCAAAAACCAACCCATTTGGCATTTATTTTCAAAAAACCGACCTGGTTTTAGCCTCAGCGCTGAAACCAGGTCGGTTTTTGTGAAAAAACTTCACGGGCCTTCAAGTCCCGTGAAGTTTAGCAGCTATTTTGATAAGCTGCTAAACTCAAGTCCCGTGAAGATTTTTTGAACTTCTAAACTTCACGGGACTTCAAGTCTCGTGAAGTTTAGCAGCTTAACAAAATAGCTGCTAAACTTCACGAGACTTCAAATCCCGTGAAGTTTGTAAATTTTTTAACAAAAACCGACCTGGTTTCATCGCTGAGGCTGAAACCAGGTCAGTTTTTGAAAATAAAAGCCAAATAGGTCTGTTTTTGGGATTAAATGTTCAAATAGGACGTTTTTAAAAATTTATCCTAATTTAAATCTAACCATTAATTTGAATCTAACGATGTAGAATAGACATCTCATATTATAAGAAACCATCTCACATATCGCGCTTATTATATATTCATATATATATATATATATATATATATATATATATAATAAAAGTATATAATGACATAAGTGAGGTGAACTGGGCAGCTCACCTACGCGCGCCCGTGAAGTGCAAATGTTATGACATGTGAGAACGCCACTATCGATGTGACTAGTAGGGGGGCTCACATATCATACACTTGCAGCTCTACGGGGGTAGGTGAGCTGCCAAAGCTCAAACTCTCTCATTATATCTCTGTCTCTCATCTCTCTCTCTCTCTCTCCTCTCTCTCTATATATATATATATAATATATATATATATAATATAATATATTATATATATATATAAAATCTAAGCGGTGGCAAAATGGACATCTCACATTAAGCAAACTATCTTACCATATCGCTTCTTCACATGAACATTTACCCTATAACTGATGTCAGACATGATTGTTTACAGAAAACAAATACACGCTACTTTTCTCGAATAGACAAAGTTTATGGTAGTTTTGTGCGAAACACCCAAGTTTGATAGCTTTGTGAAATTTACTCTTTTCTTTATATAACGTAAGCTTTTAAGCCTGTGTTCCTTCTTGTATCATTAGTTGAAACAAATTCGATTTTTTAACTCAAGCATTTTTGTTGTAACAGCCGGAGCCAGAATTTAGACCACCCATGTCCGAAGTAGTACAAGCGTTGGTTCGCTTGGTGCAGAGAGCCAACATGAGCAAGAGAATGCTCGGAAGAGAAGGCAATGACTCGGGAAAAAGGATCGATGATACTAAAACACAGGACTACATGTACTAGGACTTGGCTTGGCTTGTATTTTTCAACATATTTAACCAAAAATTTGTTCCTCTTGAAATGATATCACATTAGTGCGCAGATATAGGTAAAATACTCTTCTGTCATTACTTATATATGTAATGTAGTGTAGTTACGTGTGAACTCATGCATTCTTCGATAGAATTAATTCTTTTCCTGAGATGACGAGAGTGTGCAAACCTATCTGAGAATGTGTTAAAATTAGAATATAAAATGATAATCTTCAACCCTTACTATGACTTCGGAGTTCTGGTGTAATGGTTCAAGAGACTTCAAGATAGTATCAAATCAGAGCACATTGAATTTAAGAGCTTTCTATTACATGGAATTTTGGGAACTATGCTTTTTCTATAATTGCTAAAAAGTTTTATCAAACTAAGATCTCTCTTGCCATTAGAGCTAGTACAAATTTGAAAATAAAGGATGCAGTAGAATCTTTTTATTGACCCAAAATATTCTGTAGCAAAGAAGTTGCAATATAGGAAAAATTGCTAAGTGCAGAAAATAAATGAATACTGCATGGGACGAACATGCAAAAAATATGGATTGGGATTCGCTTCCCTGTCATAAGGCACTATAAAAACCATTTCCTAAATTATAAATTAACTTTTATCTTTTAGAATGTTATATGCAGTCATCATTATAACGTCGTTCAAATTTTACCAATAGCGATTTAAGCAGCTTTAGAATTTACTAACCCCTTTAGTTTTACTTTGCAGCCCCTCAGTGAACTTAATTTTAAGACTATTTTACACTAGAGAATGAGAAAATTGTTTCTTTGACAAATAGACCCTTTGAGGGGTACAAGAGCCATTTTTCCCCGATATGGGGTATATTTATAAAAATAAAGTAGAGCGTAGTAATTTCAACATAACACACCAATGGTATCTTGATGCAGCGGAAGCGTAACCGAAATGACACAATTCGTTATCATACTAGCAAGATAGCACAAACCCTAGAAAACACAAACTTCTGGATAATATAAGCCAAGATTAAAAGTCTATATAAATTCATCCCACTTATATAAGGTATAAAACAACGCAAAAGTACTTAACTACCCATGTTCTAAAACAAAGAGACTTCCCAACATAAGAGATTTTCTACAAATAAATAAAAAAACTAGGAACTAAAAGTGGCCAAAGCTCTTCAACGCATGCTTAGAAAACTTTTTTGAGCTTTTAGAAAAAAACTAGGAACTAAAAGTGGCCAAAGCTCTTCAACGCATGCTTAGAAAACTTTTTTGAGCTTTTAGAAAACATATTATAATAGTGATTTTATGGGGCTCTTCAACGCATGCTTAGAAAACTTTTTTGAGCTTTTAGAAAACATATTATAATAGTGATTTTATGGGAGGAAAAAAAATTCCGCGCTGTTAAAGTTACATCTCGGAATCTCGCTAAAATCACCATCTTTTCTTATAACGTCTGGGCTTCACACGACCATATTTCATACTCCCTTTAAAAGCACGGGTTCAGAAAAATCTTTCTATGGTCAATATTACCCTTCACTATTTTAAATATTATATTTAAATTTAATCTATTCTAATTCTAATTATATCTTATCTAATCCCATATGAACTATTTATAGCTTAACAATTAAAAAAAAAAGATTAACAAACTACGTGAAATATTATTTTAAATTTTTTATTTAAATCTTAATCTATCTAAATACTAATTATATCCTATATTAACCCCACATGAACTACCTATAGCTCAGCAATTAAAAAAAAGATTTAATTCAAAAATTACACAAAATATCTTTTAAAATTCAAAATTACCCAAAACACCTTGACTTTTCAAAACTTAAAATAACAAACATGAAATCTAAAAATTAAAAATAACCCCTGAGGAATTTAAAAATTACAAAAAATTACAATTACACCCTCAATATTTCTAAAAGTGTAGAAACAACCTCAAAAATTTAAATTAGAAAAAAACCACCCTAAATTCAGTGACTTCAAAACTTGCAAACAACATAGATAGATTTTAGGGATTACCATTAGGCACTTAAAAACTTAAAACTTATAATAAATAACCTCAAAGTTACATAAACTACAAAAACTCCCTCAAAATAAAAATCACAAAAATCCTAAAATTTTAAAACTTATAACTAGTAGACATCAAATCTGAAAATTATCAGCAGATCGCTAAAACTTTGAATTTACCAAAAAACAACTCAAAGTTTTAGTAATTGTAAAAAAGAGGCTCAAAATTTTAGAGTTGAAAAAGCATCTTAACATTTGAAAACTTACCACCAACTCATAAAAACATAAAAATTACAAGCACCCAACATAAAATTTAAATTTTTTTAAAAAAATAATACTAAAGTTAAAAAAATTACAAAACACACCCTCAAAGTTTAAAATCACAAAAGGCTGAAATTTGGCAAAGAAAAGAGTAAATGTTTGATATCATTTCATTAAGATATATAAATTTAAGTTTCAAATTAAAGTTTATCATCCCTTTTCAGCATCTAAAAGTAGTCTAAGTTGACGCTGGTAAGTTGACGATCCGACGTTTCACCTCGCTGGAACAAAATCGATTTCTCTCGGATTTGATGCCGGGAGAACTTGCGTGATAAGTTTAAGAATAACTCTTAACGAGTTTAGGGACTCAAAAGGAGTTTAAACTCTGTAAAAGAGTTAATTTAAACCGAAAATCGGTTAATAAACCAAGGATAATAGCCCCAAGATCCTTGTTGCTGAAAAATGCTTCAAAATCTCCAAGCGTCGATCTTCAAAATCTGGATCCCAAAAAGATTGATCTCCAAAGATTCTCCTATGCAATAATGTCGATCTCTCTTTTTCTATTCGAAAAAGATCAAGGTCCAGATTAAGAAAAAGATCCGATCCCAAACTCTGTTGAGTTTTCTGTTATTTATAAGGGGGGGGGGGGAGATAAGAGGTTGCAACTGACCCCTTAAACCGCTCCTAAATGGGCGAGAATCCCTCAGAACGTGGGGAAAACGGTTTTGGCACAGTTCAGTTTGTGTTTGAATGAGTCAAACGCCAAAATTAGCGTTCTGGGCCCGAACTCTGGGTCTTAGACCTGAAATGCAGAGTTGGGCATATACCTAAGGCTGAAAACACATTGGCCACACCGCGTTACGAGTCTGAGATGCATAAGTGAACTCTGCGTTTTTTCTGGAATTGAAGAGATTATTGACTTCTAATCTCTTTCATTAGGGCATTTGCAGAGATCGTCATTTTGTAATTTCTATCTTAGCTCCTTGAAATGTGAGAGTCATTAGATTGTAACTCTCACTGTTGATTATGAAGACTGTTGAATTAAGGTTTTTTCATCGGTTGTCGCGAAGGTCGTCGAATTGTAACCTTTCTCGATCTACGTGAAAATTTTCTAATTATAGCCTATATTTTTTGATTTGATTGTGGAATTGTTATTGTGGAAGTCATCAAATTGTAACTACCATCATTGGTATTTGATGAGGATCAACTACCTGCAGTAATTTTTAGACAGCCTACAACAACGTCAAGATGAAATAGCAAAATCGCTAGATGGTTCAATTTCTAAGCTATTCAAAGCAAAAACACAACATTCTCTTCTTTCGAGTCAAGTTGAGGAAGCTAGTGCCACTGCCAATATTAGTAAAAATATATATAAGGTCATTGAGGAGCCCATGAATGAAGTCACTTATGCGGATGGAAGTCGTAATGAGGAAGCTAGTGATGAAGATCATGAAGAGCCTGTGAATGAAAATGTTCATGTGGACGAAAATGACAATGAAGTAGCTTTTAGTAAATATCATGAAAGCATACTTGATCTTGAGACAGATGTGGAAGTAAATTATGATCCGGGATTGTGGGGAAGTATAAATGATACTAAGAGGGTGATGATAGTTCAACATGGTCCTATCAAGATTTTAAAGAAAAATGATGAGTTTCCAAGTGAAAAGAAGAGTGAGAGAAATAGAAGTTTTTCTTCCAAATATTGCATCCGTGAATTTTCAAATGGCGAGAAGCATGAAAGGAAATGGCTTGTCTATTCAAATGAACTGAATAGGGTATTTTTTTTATTGTAAGTTGTTCAAGAATAAACCAATGACAACCAATTTGGCGGAGAATGAAATAGACGATTGGCATAACCTTCCTACAAAGCTTAGAGAGCATGAAAGTAATCTGGAGTATTGTGCAAATGTTATGAAGTGGGTTGACTTGCAAAAAGACTAAAACTAAAGGCAACAATTGATAAAGATATAGAAGCACAAATTGACAAAGAGAAAACTCGTTGGAAGATGATACTAGTTCGAATCATTGCGGTTGTGAAGACTCTTTCTCGAAATGGTTTGTCATTTCGTGGAACTAATGAGAAGATTTATGAGAAGAACAACGGACTTTTTTGTTAACTTATAGAGTTCCTTGCAGAATCCAATCCAATTATGCAAGATCATGTTCGGTGTGTGGTAGATAAAGAAGTTCAGAGCCATTATCTTAGCCATTAAATTCAAAATGAATTGATAATTTTGTTGGTCAATGAGATCAAAGCAAAAATTCTTGACAAAATTTTAAAAGCAAAGTATTTTTTAGTTATTCTTGATTGTACGCCGGATTTAAGCCATGAGGAACAAATATCAATTATCATTAGATGTGTGGATATTGAAGATACAAATCAAGTCAAGGTGGAAGAGTTTTTTCTTGTATTTAATTATCATTAGATGTGTGGATATTGAAGATACAAATCAAGTCAAGGTGGAAGAGTTTTTTCTTGTATTTATAAAGGTTGATGACACGTCGGGACTTGGGCTTTTCAATCAACTTGAAGATACTTTGAATGAACTTAATCTCAACATTGATGATATAAGAGGTCAAGGTTATGACAATGGGTCAAATATGAAAGGTAAACATCAAGGTGTACAAAGAAGACTTCTTGACATAAATCTTCGAGCTTTTTATACACCATGTGGGTGCTATAGCTTAAACCTTGCACTATGCGATATGGCAAAATCTTGTGTCAAATCTAGAAATTTTATTTGCATATGTGCAAAAGGTTTACACTTTGTTTGCTAGATCAACACATCGGTGAGATGTTCTTAAAACATATGTAAAGAGTCTGACACCAAAGCCATTGTTGGTTACTCGTTGGGAAAGTCATGTTGAAAGTATTAAAGCAATCCGATATCAAGCACTGGAGTTGAGAGACGCTTTGATTGAAATTACAAATAGTTCTAAAGAGGACATTGTGATGGCAGAAGCTAAAGGCTTGTGTAAAAATGCTTTGGAGGATTTTGAGTTCTTGATTAGCTTGTGTATTTGGTATAAGATTTTAGATAAAGTCAACCGAGTTAGCAAAGTTCTTCAACAAGAAGAGATGAATTTGGAGGATGCAATTACAAGAATAAACGAGCTTATTGTTTTCTTTCAAAAGTTTAGACAAGACGGTTTTGAAAACATGATGAAATTAAGAAGCCAATGAACTTGCTAATGATGTTGGTATCGATCCGACATTTTCGATAAAAAGAGTGGTTTGTAGAAAAAAGCATTTTGATGAGGATGTGGAAGCGAATGTTGAAGGTAGTCAATCACTGGAGGATAATTTTAGAGCTTCCTATTTCCTCCATATTATTGATCAAGCTCTTTCATCACTCAAAGATCGTTTTGAACAATTCGAGCTCTATGAAGAAATCTTCAGATTTTTGTTTAATGCAAAGTTCATGAGTATTGGTGAAGAAAAATTGATGGAACATTGTACTAAATTACAAAGATACTTAAAACACAACTGACAATGTGATATACATGGGAAAGATTTATTCAATGACCTACGAGCTTTGCAAACAACATTGCTGAAGGAAGTGACTAAATCAATAGACACCCTTGATTTCATAAGATCTTATTGGTATGATGGTGGCTTTCAATGTGCATGTGTTGCTTATCGGATTTTATTAACTATCCCAGTTACGGTTGCCTCGGCGGAGAGAAGTTTTTTCAAGTTGAAATTGATAAAAAGTTATCTTTGCACTACCATGTCACAGGAACGATTGAATGGATTGTCAATGATATCAATTAAAAATGAATACTTGGAGAAACTTGAGTATGATGACCTAATTGAAGAATTCGCTTCAAAAAAATTCAAGGAGAAGTATTTTTCTCTGAATTAAATTGTAACACAAATGTAATCTCTTCTTATATGAATATTGATTTTGCATGAGAATATTATCAGTTTGAGCCCAATATAGAACGCTAAGTTGTATTATATATATTCATTTTTATCGTTATTGTTTGTACCAAATTTTTAATATAAGGGGCAACCAAAATTGGTTTGGGCGGCAACCCAAAGCTCGGGGCCGGCCCTGACTAAATACCTACATTTTTCATTGCTAATTTGCCTTAGATTATAATATTTTAATTTCTTTGGTATTTGAAGAACAAAGTATGGAATTTATAAATACTTACTAATTTTTCTTATATCTTCCATAAAAAATTCTTCTTTGGTTGGAATAAAATTATTAAATATTTCTTCAGTGTAACTCAGTTGATGCTTCTTTAATAGATATGCCTTATGTTAATACCGATTCAAATGATTTAGGGACTTATTATTTCCGTCACTTTCTCATTTATAACGAAAATAGCTTGATTCTTTTGAAGGATATCTCCGTACCGTGCCTACTCGGCTAGAAAATTTTGTGACTAGAGAATATATAGTTTGCCAACATAAGTTTCGTGGCCCATTAAGAACTTCAATATTCCAAAGATGTGGCCCATTAGGCAAAATATTTGTGCTACTATTGGACGGTCCAGATTAATCAATCTATCTGCCCTCTTGATATAAACCCCAAACCTCACAATCCATAATTTCCCTGAGCATGTAACTTCAGGCCGCGGTTTTTTCTGTTTCCTTCTCTCGCTCGCTCATCTCGCCGCTTTGATCTCTTCGTTAGATCCAAGAAGAAGGTAATAATACTAAACCTAGATCTAAAGATAATTTCTTTTTGTGTTTTAGAATCGAAATCTTCTCATGCTGTTAGATTTGATGATTCTAGTCTAAATCTAAGTTTTAATGACATTTTTTGTGGTTTTTTTAAGTTCAATATCGCCAATCCCACCACTGGGGTGCCAGAAAAAGCTCGAGATTGACGACGACCAGAAGCTGTAAGTTTTTTCATTTACAAGTTATGATCTGTTGAGTTCCTTTATTAGTTTCATTGCGCCTTTGTTGCATTATTTGTTCCTGTTTAGTATTTCATAGGTCGCCAAAGATGGTGTATTTATTTTATTTGTTACTTGGTTAATTACGGTTTCTAGTACTTAGTCTAAACCCTATGAGTGTTTAATACCTATGATCTTGTCATTGTACAGCATCAAATGTGAACTTTGAGCTAATTATTAGCCACAGTTGTTAAGGTTGGAGCTTAACACGTAGAAGGCTTCTCTTATCCCATATACCTTTGCCAAATAGGATATTCATGACATAGTTCCCCAAAACTCGTATAAATAAATCCCTGCATCACTTAAGTTGTCTCAAATAAGCCCCTCAGGCCATAACTGTCATCTGTCTGCAGTTTTATTCTTACTGGGATAGCTAGTTAAGGCAACAACCTTTATCTTCTTCGAGATTCACCGTAAAAACTATTTTTTCTTTTCTTACGGAACATAAACTCATGCATGACTGTTGTTTGGCTGAATAACCTGACATGTAACTTCTCTATTGACGTTTTTCAGAAATAACATCTGCGACTAGTGGTGCAATGTCGTTTGATGCAGTCCTTTTGTTTTTTGGAGTTTTAATATTTTAAGAAATGATTTTCCAGACCTCATCTATGCCTTAAGTTGTTATTGCAAGTGTTCTTTTTGTTTTGTTTTAAGAAGCATGCTTATTATAGAATGTTAATGATAGCAAGTAGTTAATGGGCATTTTCGCATCTATTATATCATTTCTATGTGAGTAAGCTTCATTGTTTAGTAGCTAGCGTTCACTGTCAATTCAGTTGTTTCATTACTAATAACTTTAAATAAAAGAATGTTCAGTCCTTCTCTGTTTCTGTGCGCAACATGTAGTGCTTTTGATGTTGTTTTGTCACCCTTATGATTTTAATAACTGTTCATTCTTTGATCTTAGTTCTTTAGGTAATTGATCATGGAATCTTATTCCATGACATTATTAGTTTGTTATACTACAGTTCTACAGTTCTGAATACTTGTGAGACATCATGCACTAATCAGAATTATGTTATTTGGCGAACAATCTCTTCCACTATTTCTCCCCAATTTGTTTGTGAGACATTGCAATTTAATTCTCAGTATAGGCACTATGCAATTTGATTCTTATTGTATGTAAATTACCATATAAGCCATCATCCACCCTATCTCCTCTGTTGGTTGATGTGTGTCCATGTTACTTGCTGTCTGTAAAAGTGCATGTCTGCGCATTGCATATTTTATTTTCTGATCCATCTCCTGACTGTTCTTCCTTTATACAGCTCAATAAAACAAAAACAAAACATTTCCCTCAATTGGAAACCTAGGTTCTGAGTTCTGAGTAGCAGTCATCTCCTCCTCTTTCCCCCTCTCTCTCGTGAAAAGAGGAAGGAGATGAAGGCGGTGACCGGTACTGTGACCTCATCGAAACCGATTTCTCTGTCTAAAGCGTCGGCGGCCCTCTCCCGCTTCGCCGTCGGCGACAACGGAGCTCGCCGCGAGATCTCCGCCTATTTGAAGCGCGTGTCCAACGCTTACCAAGATCTCGTTCAGGTGCACCAAGAGCTGAGGTCCATAAGGAAGGGAGCAGGCGTCGAGATCAAGCGAGAGGTTGAGGATGAAGACAAATCGAGTAAGAGGAGGAAGGAGGAACATCAGGATCCAAACCCTGATCTTTCTGTCAATCCCTTTATTGTTAAGAAAGGTGAGAATGACCTTCTTGGGTTGACTGATGTTGAGAAGCCAAGGATAAGAGGACCTAAGAGGGCCTCCAAAATCCGTAAGTTGTTCAACCTCTCTAAGGAAGATGATGTTCGCAAGTATGTCAACACTTACCGTAGGACCTTCACTAACAAGAAAGGTTAGTTATTTACGTTTATCAGTTGCAAACTTAATTTGATGATTATTTTGATGATTGTTTTGCTTTTTTTTGGAGAGATGTGCTGTTACTATGTTGTCAGTGCCTTATCACTCTTTCTTTCTTGCTATGTTTTAAAACATAGAATGATAGAGGAGCCCTTTGTCTTTTTTAAGTTTTGGTTCCTGCCTCTGCTTATTCCATTTTTACCAGTCACAAGTGTTTTCTACTTTTTTGAATCTCAATTCGTTGCAAAATATTGAGAACTCATAATCCGTCATCCCATGTTGATCTTAAATGGGAAAAAGGGTTGATATTTGTTGTGCCGTATAATGTTGATCTTAAATAGGAAAAAGTGATGATATTGGTTTTGCCAGTATAAAAGTTCTCCCTTGGCGGTATATTCAAGCATAATTTATACATTGATGATTTTTTGTGTTTCTCTCTCCTCTTTACAAATAAATGTTAATGCTCTAGCTAATGCTTCCATTCTCTTATTCTGAAAAAGAGTACATTCATCATACACTTCATTTTATAATAGTTTTTAATATAATATTCCATCCAGAGGATTCAATTGTTTGTTCATTGATGATGGTAGTTTTTCTTAAGATAGGTTTAATGCTGACTATCAATGCGTAATGCCCCATTAGTGGTCTAAATGTAATGCAGACTATCAGTGTGTGATGCCCCATTAGTGTTCTAAATGTTTATCTAAAGAAAAGTGCAGGCTTGACATCTTAACCCAACACAGAACTTTTTGTTGCCATTTTGCTGTGGTGATTAGACTCAAATGTTATTTGAGCACACCTTTTTTGTCTTTGACGTTCCCCTTTTATGTCAATAACTATCAATCAAATCTTTACTCTTTACTTTAGTGCCTGTTAAGCTCTCCAGGATTAGATGGATATGATTGATAAAATCAGAAATTTTAGAATCCCAATTGTTCGCTTTTTCCGTCAATTTTGATGGATGAACGGAAAACATGAGAGGTTTTAGACTTTTCCACATTTTGGATAAGCAATCTGTTAGTTTTAGGTGACAATAAGAGGCATGGCAACTCATATGATACAAAAGTTAGTTGCTAATCTATCATGTTTACTCAGGCTCTTATATGTAGTTTCCACTATTTTCATTGTTTAATAAGTTAGTTGCTAATCTATCATGTTTACTCAGGCTCTTATATGTAGTTTCCACTATTTTCATTGTTTAATAACTTTTTCATACAATCTGAGCGAAAAGCTTGGCTCTTATATGTAGTTTCCACTATTTTCATTGTTTAATAACTTTTTCATACAATCTGAGCGAAAAGCTTTAAGGTAGGATTTCTGATCTATGAAGCACGGATACTTCCCCCAAGGCCACGAATCCGTGTCCGACACGAATCGGACACGGATTCGTGCGGACACGTGCAAGACACATGTTCCTCTCTTTGTTGTTGATTTATAGTGCTGGTATTGTTAAACATTAAAAAAATTGATTTGGAGCATGTTTGGCATATGGTGAAGTGGTTTTAGGCAACTGCAGTGGAAAACAATTCAGTGGATAATGGACATAGATGGTGAAAATTGGTTTATTTTAACTCGTACTCCAACAAAACAGTGGTCTATTTTCATTTTTTTGGGTGGATTATGTGATACGAGGTTTGACAGACATGAAAGCATGCATTCGTGATTCCTCACTAAATCCCGAGGGCCAAATTTTTGGTAAATTTAAGTAATGTTTGTTTTTGGTAGTTTTGATGGATTATAACTTATTGCCGGGTGTTATACATGAGAATAGACTATAATTCACTATATTACCAAACAATTTAGATTGTGATTCACTTGGATTAAAATCTCTAGGTTAATATTCCATATGTAGATTATAATCCAAAGTGGAATGCAAAGTTTACCGAGCATGCTCTTTTTATTTTATCTCTACTTCGCTAGCTTGTTGAAATTCATTGGTACTAGTTGATGAGTCAGTTTATGGTCCAATAAGTTCCTGCTTTTTTTTTTGTTGGTGGGATATTAGGTGGTGTTTGGCAGCTCTCTTATTATCCAGGTTAGTGGAGCTAATCTAGTTAAAAGGTTGAATTGTTGTTTCGGTAACATTGGGCTAACTCCAAATTTGATTTTTTCAGTTCAAATTTAGGCCCTTATCCATGTTAGGATTGAACAATCCCTCTATCTGGTTTACAACTAACCCAGTTAAGGTCTTGACTAGGTTAGTAGGGAGCAACCAAACACATGCTACTCTCATTATAGATATGTTTGGTTGAGGGTTTTTTGAGGTTATAATACCGTAGGTGTCAGCTTGCTACAGTATTCTAATGTAGCAGCTACTGTAGCTGAGTTGGCAGTACCCAGTTAATTCATAGGGAAAAAAACTCTGTTTAGGGTGGAGTTACTGTAGCTGCTAGGTACCGTTGGACCACCTCACTATGTGATACTGTAGCGATCAGGCGGTTTACAACGGAATATCCAAACAGACCCTTATGTGAATTAGAAGGGAATCATGGTTGTGTTCTGCTCAGCTGCCCCTCTTGCTTTTCGTCAGTTCTTGATTGCCTCTGCTTCAAATCACTTGGTGTTTGTGCTATCGTATTATTAGTTCTCCTCCTATGCTACAGCCTGTACGTTCAGTAGTTTTGATAACATTAAGCTGCTGCTGCTGCTATTATACATATTCTATCTATAATGTTTCATTGAAACAGACCCTGGTCCGGGCATTAACAGCTACTGCAACTCCAGAAATGGTGTTAGTCTAGTTGGCGATACTTTCGCCAAACGCTACTACTACATTCTCCCTGCTGCAAGTGCGACACTGAAAACATAATCTGCCAACTCAGGACTCTGACGATATCATTTTCGACACGTGGTCGTGCACCCTCCTGCGGTTCCTCCTGATCTCTCCGGGCCTCCCCGACTGCAGGTCCCCCATCATCATCATCCCCTCCACAAACGCCGCGAAAAAGGCCGCCTCGTCGACGCTGAACCTCAACACCACATTCCCTCGTCTCCTCGCTCCCCCCGAGAACAGCGTCTGATCCGAATTCAAGATCCCCCTCCCCCGAACCAAATCCCTAAAGTACCGGTTGTCTAACGCCACCTGCGTCAAGTCCATACCCTCGGTCACGTTCCCGTCCCCGTTGGCCGGACACTAAGGCGGTTAGATGATGGCGTAGTCGCCTGGTTGATGGCGGGTCAGAGCCTGTCCGGGTGCTGGATTGCGTTGTGAGGGCGGAATAATGACCTGGAGAAGCGCACGACCGGTCGCCGGCAATTGGAGTGGGAGCTTTTGACAACGAACGAGGTCCGGTAGAACGTGAGTTGAACTTGGTGCAAGAGGCTTGGATGAAGTCTAAGGATCGGCTCTCCGGCTTGCATTCACGATTGTCCGATCTTCTTGGCTTGCCGTCAAGCATGGTCTAAGGTCCGATGTTTTACTCCCAATCTGACTCCGCTCTAACAATAAAGGATATATACTTGGCCCTCACTAGTTGTTGATCACTCATGGCCACAAAATGGCGAATTACAAGTTAATTATGTGAAAAACTTCCTATCAGAAATATCTATTCTAAGGCTCGCTTTTTAATGAGAAAATCATGCACGCATTAACCGAGAAAATCTTTTAACTAAGTGGGCAAAATCAAAACACTTTAGAACCTCCAACCGAGAAAAGAAAGCTCGCGCCATAGGGGGAAACAGAAATTAACTTTTTTTTTTTGTAGAGAAGAAAAAAAAGTGTTGCAATCATATACAGCAAAGATGATGATTAGCGTCATGACACAAAGTCAAACCGATGAGTGGACTTTGTACTTCTCGAGTTCAGATCATTGCACTGAATTAGTGCAGATGTTGATTGTAAAATTCCTCTTAGCTTCACTCAGCAATCGCGCCGTACACTTAAAAACAGCCTAAAAAAATATACTCCAAGGAATGCTTATTTGATGATATCTGATATAGCATATAAATAAGAGAGATAATCTATAGTAGGTATATATATCAACGTATATATATAATATATATTAGCATATATATGATATATAATATAATATATAACTAATATTATACATTATATATATCTAATATATGAAGAAATATGTTGTATGTGTGGTACAAGACAAATTTTGGCTGTAGTGCCGATGTCAGTGTCACATCTTCAAATCCACAGTCGATAGCGCTCATGGGTGATGTGTCCCTATATTGAATAGAGGGTGGAGGGAGCATGTGACACCTGTAACACCAAGCAGCGAAAAACCCTTTTGTGGCTTGGACAAGGGAATAACACATTAATTCTCATATGTATCATATATAATAGTATATACTTATATACATACTGTATGATATATATTAGGGTATATACATATAATTAATAATATATACTGGTACGTTACTAATATATCACTCACATACTATATTAGTATCCCAACATCGACCAACACACACACCCACACGACTTCCTACTCACCTCACTCACCTATATACCAACTCATAGATATACTAATATAACCGAGCGTAATGGTATATACACACAGCGACACACACACACACCACCACACCCGAGCCCACCACAACATCACACATATCACATATGGAGATTAATGGGTCCGCACTTAGAGCGAGCGGGGATTTCCTCTAGTGACCAATGATGTGGATCAATGCATGTGAGCACAACCGTCCCACACTCACGATGAAGGAGAAGAGATAGCAGCCAGAGAGGATATCGACGCCTCGCGGGGATTGTGCTACCATCATCTCTACTCACCATCAGCATAGTAATTAAACTTTTACTCACTCACTCACATCATACTAACACACTCTCTCTGATACTAATAACTATCACCCAGCCCCGCTAGTATCACCCCTAATATATATAGTAGTACTAGTAATGATATATAGATGTATACTAGTATACTCTAAATATAGTATAAGGCTATAGTATATATATATAGCAAGGAATCTTATCTCAACGTTAAGTTGACATCCACCAAACTTCTTAACGCAGATTAGGATACATTTCCTAGGAGTCCTTGGCAATGATAAATTGAAACGAGCTTTGATATATACTAGGATTTTAATGCACGTGCAATGCACGGATAATACTTGATTATGTAATTTTTGTTTATTTTTTTACTAACATTTTGTTTCCTGATGCGGTTTTCCTCTTCTGAGATGCTTGGCTACACGTACCGGAGCTTGCTTGATGATATCTGATATAGCATATAAATAAGAGAGATAATCTATAGTAGGTATATATATCAACGTATATATATAATATATATTAGCATATATATGATATATAATATAATATATAACTAATATTATACATTATATATATCTAATATATGAAGAAATATGTTGTATGTGTGGTACAAGACAAATTTTGGCTGTAGTGCCGATGTCAGTGTCACATCTTCAAATCCACAGTCGATAGCGCTCATGGGTGATGTGTCCCTATATTGAATAGAGGGTGGAGGGAGCATGTGACACCTGTAACACCAAGCAGCGAAAAACCCTTTTGTGGCTTGGACAAGGGAATAACACATTAATTCTCATATGTATCATATATAATAGTATATACTTATATACATACTGTATGATATATATTAGGGTATATACATATAATTAATAATATATACTGGTACGTTACTAATATATCACTCACATACTATATTAGTATCCCAACATCGACCAACACACACACCCACACGACTTCCTACTCACCTCACTCACCTATATACCAACTCATAGATATACTAATATAACCGAGCGTAATGGTATATACACACAGCGACACACACACACACCACCACACCCGAGCCCACCACAACATCACACATATCACATATGGAGATTAATGGGTCCGCACTTAGAGCGAGCGGGGATTTCCTCTAGTGACCAATGATGTGGATCAATGCATGTGAGCACAACCGTCCCACACTCACGATGAAGGAGAAGAGATAGCAGCCAGAGAGGATATCGACGCCTCGCGGGGATTGTGCTACCATCATCTCTACTCACCATCAGCATAGTAATTAAACTTTTACTCACTCACTCACATCATACTAACACACTCTCTCTGATACTAATAACTATCACCCAGCCCCGCTAGTATCACCCCTAATATATATAGTAGTACTAGTAATGATATATAGATGTATACTAGTATACTCTAAATATAGTATAAGGCTATAGTATATATATATAGCAAAACTTATGTCAACTTAAGTTGACATCCACCAAACTTCTTAACCATTAGATATTTCCTAGGGATCCTTGCATGATATGAAACGACTTTATATATACTAGATTTTATGCACGTGCAATGCACGTGGTTAAATACTGTGATTATGTATTTTTGGTTTATTTTTTTACTAAATTTTGTTCCTCGGTTACTCTTTGATAATTTTTGCTCACTTTGATTAAGTATTTTTTTGGTTTATTTTCTTACTAAAAATTGTTCCTCGATTACACTTTAATTATTTTTTATTTGATATTTGTTTGAATAGACTATACACAGTTTAAATTTTTGTGTTGATAGTTGAATTGTCAGGAGATAAATATAATCTAAAGTCAATTTAAATTTTTATTTCATTTGGATCGGCATGAAACCGAGCTTGACCTGAGAAAGTATAATGTTATGAAAGTGAAAACACTTGAAAAAATAACATTATAAAAGGAAGATGAATAATAAAGCCAATGAGCCAAGATGATTAGTTTAAAGTGGGCTAAAATGACAGAAAATAGTTAATGAAAAAAGCATAAACTGAAGATTAATGCTAACTCTAGCACACTTTTATATGATAAAAATATCCACATATGCATATGAAAGCACTAAAAATAGTTTATGAAAATCCCTTCTAAAGATTCCTAATTTTACTAAAAAATAAAACTATTCTATAACAATTCACAAAACATTATCTTTTATTGCTTCTATTTTATTTTTTATTTAGTTGAGATCAATCCTTCTTCATCTTTACATTTTCTTGGGTAATTCTAGAGTAGTGTCTTCATCGTCTACATCGATTATGATATGAGACTGGGCTTATTCATCTTTTTTCTTCTCGTTTAAATTCACAAAGAAGTTGAATATATTTCTTATATTCAACACAAACTTCTGACAATACGAACTTTGACTTTTTCCTATTTCAATAAGAATAAATATTAATTTCATATATATGAATTTTTTTTTGTTTATAATTTATTACTTAAATAAGGTTAGGAGCTACCTCTTTTTTCTCTATAATGAATTCTTTTGTTGTGCATCCAATAAGAATTTCTGCTGTGTCATAATATTACCTTTGCTCTGCCTGTGACATTTCCCATAAGGATCTGAACTAAATATATTACATTTTTCATTGTTAATTTTCTTTAGATTATAATATTAATATTTAATTTTGATATATTTATTTCATGAAGAAGGGATATCACTTAACCTTGGTACTAAATCATCGACGATTCTACAATATTTATCACCTGGACACTTATTATTAATATCTATATCCACTTTCTTATTGCAGCCTTTGCAAACATAGAACCACTGTTCAACTCTATTTTAAATGGTAGTCATCGTTAGCTTAAAGGTGTGATAATGTGTCTATATATTGGTAAATTATTCTTAGGTTTAACTGTATAAAATTTAGAGTAGGTTTTCTAAGATCATACCTCTTTCGAATATTATAATGATTGTATATATTAGTAATTTGAATTTTTATTGCATTTATAAAGAGCCTTGATGGAGATGCTTTTGTCTTGGTAGCTTACTCTAAAAGAGAGTTGCATATTAGCTTTAAAATATAATTTTTTTTACGGTGCTATATGGATGTTTGTTTGGTTTACATACTATTCTCTTATTTCTTTAGTAAGTTGTATCTTGGATTGATATATATTATTGGCACAATTTACGATGACATGCATATCTCCTCTATAAATTTGAGATAGATATAAGGTGAATTTTATATTTAGTGGCCTTTAATAAGAATTTTGCTAATGAAATATACTACATTCATATTTAGAGATCTTGAATTCTAATAGTGCTATTACATCATTATCCTTGATTGTGTCTTTAAGAATTGATCCTTTGTTAGTAGTCATACCCCTAAATAAAGTCACACGCAGGGTCATGATACTATATAAGAAAAAGAAAAATGACGATTTTATATTTTTTGCTTATGTAGA